TCCGGCTGCTCTTGCAGAGGACTGGGGTTCAATTCCTAGCACCCACATGGCAGCTAACAATCATACATAGCTACAATTCCAGGGAATCTGAAGCCCTCTCCTAACCTCCACAGGCATTGCACGGCATGGATGCACTTACATATGTGCAGGCAATATACTCATACATATAAAAAGGTAAAAAAAATTAAAAAATATAATGGCCAAGATTCATATTTTCTCACGGGAAACATTCCAGAATTCATATTTAAATATTCTGAGGTGACTTCGAACTTCTATTTCTCCTTCTTTCATTGAGAAGTGATTCTATAATGGTACTAGAGAAATGGCTAAGCAGTTAAGAGTTCCAACTGCTCTTGCAAAGGACCCAGATTTGATTCCCACCACCCACATAGAGGTAACAACTGTCTTTGACTCCAGTTCCAGGGGAATCCAACACACTATTCTGACCTCTGTGGGCATTGCCAGACATGGGTGCATTTACACACATGCAGACAATACATGTACATAAAATAAAAATAATAAATAAAATATTAAAAAAGAATGTGATGCTATTGAATGTGTAAGGGGACTATTAAGCAGGCTTGGTAACCCTTTCTCAAAGCTAGGCTTATAGTTAATTTCAAATCCTGTGCTTTAATGACAAAGACACATTTGTTTTTAATGTTCTGTCTTGTTGCAATCACGAGTCTAGGAAACAAATGTATAATGAGTGAATCTATTTGGGGTTGACATTTTGTAATGGGACAAGCAGAAAAATGACTGAGAACTTCAAGATTGTATTAATTAAAAATAAAATCAAACTACTGTTATCTGTAATATATGTATAACTCAAATAAAGTTAGAAATAGCTAATATGCATTTTTTCATAACAAAAGAAAAGTGATGTGTGACTTATTTTGTTTGGCTCTCCAAATGATTTATAAAACACAAATCAGCTTCATTGAAGTTAATACAATTGAGCCCCATCTGTTACTGTAGGAAAATGAAAACTTTGTGGGTTTGTGTACTTGGGATTGGCAAGGACGTAGGTGAATAAGCCAATTAGCACATCCACATACTTTCTTCCTCAGTTCAAGAGGTGACATAGGTTCCTCTTTTCACAGCTCTCAAATAAATTAAGAATATCAAACTAGAATAATCCATAAAATCCTTAATGTCTTATATTTAAATAGGCAACAGATAGGAAAAGCATGACAAGCTGGGATAGCTTATCCCAGATAGTGGAGCACTAAGAAAATGGGAATTTCAAGAATATTTTTGAATTTCGGAAGTTAAAGAGAGCATATAACTTTCCTACAACTGGCAATGAATGTCCACGACATTGTTATGGCAGCTCCACAGAGCTGGCTATGTGGATTGAAAGTTTCTTTATCTGTGCTATTTTTTTTTTTTTTTTTTTTTTTTTTTTGTCTTTTTGAGACAGGGTCTTCCTGTAGCCCCAGCTGTACTGGAACTCACTATGTAGACCAGGCTGGCCTCGAACTCACAAAGATCCGCTTGCCTCTGCCTCTCAAGTGCTGGGATTAAAGGCATGTGCCACCATGCCTTGCATTGTGCTGTCTATTCTAAACACTTGAGGTGTCCAGTAGGAACTGAGGAACTGGATTTTATTTTCTTTAGTTGTAATTGATTTATATTCAATTTTCAATACCACGTGTGGCCAATGACTATTGTACTGGACAGTGCAAGCCTATAGAGCTTAAGACATTGAATAAAGCTCTTTATTCCTTTAAATGTGCTATCCAGGCTTCCCTACTTGTAAGTAGATTTTAACATAAACACTTTGGACTTGTAAAACAAACTCTAAAATGTTGTTTGCACATTTAAATCAATGAGAGAGCAGAGTTCTGTATTCATAAGTTGGTAAAAGTTTTAAAGGGATATGACAGAGTTCACAAGGTCCTTCTGCAAACAAATACCTTTTGTATTTGAGTATAGTGCCTACAGCTGCAGATGGGGCCTTGGACATTATTTTATAGGAAACCAAGGATTATAATGCTAGTTACTAGTAGGACTGGTAGACCTTCAGTTCTTTTTAATTTT